TAGGGTAAAATTAATGTAATAAATTTCAGTTACTAATGTAGTAATCCATCCATTTGTCTCTATATTCCAGCAGTCTCTATTTTACAATGATCTCTAGATTTCAGGTGTTACCCTCAGAGCAAACATTTGCATGTACTTTCCACATTGGACATCCATTGTCAAAACCCAGTACATCATCAATTTATCAGCATCTTTTCTGAATATATCGTCCATCTACAGAAAAAAAGCTTTCTCATTGAATCCTTTGTCCTGTCATTCTCAGCAACTTAACAGGTTAGTTTATAAACCAATCACAGCAGAAGTGTGTTTGCAAGACTTTGCTGAGTTTTGATGAGACTGATGTGGCAGGTAGTAATTATGAACAGAAGTAACAACAACTCTCTAATTGTAAGAACATTCTCTTTTCTGAAGTAAAGCTGTAAATCTGTGTCCTGTGATCAGTCAGAAGTAGCACAGTTTTGCAGCTTCCGTCTCTGGAGGGACATAAATAAATTACTCTGTAGCAATCACGCTTGGTAACTGAAACTACCATTATGGTACCTGTGGCAAGCCTTCCAGTAGTGTACCTTTCAAAATACAAAATTGTCTTGGCAGCCAACATTCTGTTTAGTACTCCTTTTCTATTCTTCTGTCTTCTATCCTTTCAGAGAAAAATAACATTTCCAGAAAGTTTCTCATAGTATTCTTTACATTTTGCAAGATCAGTTGTGTTTTCTACAGCCATGGATAATTTGTAAAAGAGCTAGAGCTGCACCTGTAGTATGCCATAAAAAAGAGAGAGGGAATTTAGCCATGTAATCAACGATTTTTGACACAATTTCTTAGTAATAAGTTCTAATACGATGGGAAGCACATAACAGAATCCTGTAATCTCAGACTAAACCTAGCCACACAGATTTTCTATTTCCATGTAAAAAGCAGATTTTCATTTCCTTCCATTAATCATAAACATCGTAGCTGTGACACAGTCCAAAAAGCTTTGCCTTCCTTTTCCTGCAGCCAAGATTAAAGTGTACACTATATTACCCTACTGATGAAATAAGTGAGGATAACAAATGGTTCATGACAAGATGAGGCTTATCAGAAAGTCTATGAAATAGAAGTGTCATGCTCTGAAATAATATTATTTCTTTATTTGTTCTTTAAACACTGTATTTTTAATTCTAGCACTCCGGCATTGGTGGAGCAGCAGCTGGCAAGAAGAACAGAACTTGGAAGAACCTAAAACAGATTCTTGCTTCTGAAAGGGCATTGCCATGGCAACTAAATGATCCTAGCTGTAAGCTGCTTAGACGCTTTGCATGTATTTATAAATAATAAAATCCACACAAATAACTTTCTTTAAAACAAACCTAAATCATTTCATCAGTGCATGCAGTATGCTGCTTGAATAGGGTCCAGTAGTACATTAAGACCAGTCCAGTCACACTTGCCAGCCCTGAAGTAGAAAGCAGGGAAAAGCAAATGATTTGGAGTATTGTGACAAAGGTGAAATACATTCGGGGGGAGAGTTTAATAAATGAAATTTATTTCTCCAAACCAAGTCAGAAACTCCTTATTCCCATGAAGTATTTTGTCAGTGGTGAGGGGCCTCCCCATCTGCATACAGCCCCAGTGTCTTCTGATGGGTAGCGGCTGCTTGATTAGTTGCATTTGAACTGTTTTCAAATAGATTCTGCTAAGCTGTGTACCTGCAGTAGCTTAGACCTCAGCCCAAGATTCAATATCCAGCTCCTTATCCTAGATTCCTGGGAGATTTAAACCCTACATCCCCTATTTAGTTCAGCACAGCTGAAATGACACTATTAGCAGTCCTGATTAGCAGCCATAGCTAGTGTCCATCTGCAGGAGCAGAGTTACAGCAGTGGTCTTAATCTAGATATAATTCAAGTCTGCTCGTAAAGTAAGATATTATTGAACATAGCTGGAGGCATAATGTGATGCTCAGATTTTACTTAAGCAAGTGAAGGCTCTTCAGAATTGAGCATATGCATATACTTTTTGTCAGACTTGGTGCTTTATCCAAAAATAGCTTGCCATTTTTTAAGTGTTTTAGACACAACTGTTAAAGAAAAATGCAGACTACTGTGCGTTTCTGGCTATTGTAACTGACAATCTGCTGATGTTGCAATTTCTGTTACGTTCTGCTTGCAACTGTAAATTTACGGGATTTTTTTTAAGAAGGTGGGAAAAGAAATTCAGTTGCATATTTAAAACCAGCTGTCTGTGGCATTAGTGTCTTTTGAATTATGAGGCGATAAGTTAGAAATTTGATATGGATGGAGCTTTTGAATTGATCTGAGCATCTGAATGAGGTGCAAGGGAAAGGAGGGAGGAAAGAAGTGAGTCAGGTACAAGATATTTTTGTAATCATCCAAAATTGAGGATTTAGCTACTTAAACGTACCAACTGTATCTTAAAAATGGTTATGAATGAGAGTTGCTATCTAAAGGGCACCAAAGAACAGCAATTTCCATCATTTAATTTAAACATTGAGACGATTTTCTAGGTCATTGACTGGGCTTAAAGTGGTATATGCTTAAATATTTAACTGATTTAAAAGATTACTTTGCTTTTCTGGATTATAGTATTTCAGAGCTTCAATCTTGAGCAATGTTTTGTGGTCCTAGCATACAGCATGCATATGATAATGGCTGTTCTTTGCAAATAACTGACTGCAAGGGAATTCGTTAAAACTTGGAAGAAATCAGCACCTTTCAAATAGCTCTTGCATTTTTCCTTTTGGGAAGGGCAGTTCTGCTTACTGAACTTGTATTAGAGGGGTGAGCAGGATCAGGCTGTTGTTTATTGTGCAGAAAGGCTAAATGTTTTCAGAGGTAATGCCACTTCATATTTCTTTGCCTTAGTGTTGCTAGTGAAGGGAGACCTCAGAAAGTAAAGGCACCATTTTAAACAAGTGCTATTACCCATTTCCATTTTGGGTTTACGCTTTAAAATACGTATAACACACTGAATTTATTCTTTTCTTTTTTTTTTCTTTCCCCCTAGATTTTAATATTGATGCTCCTCCTTCCTTTAAGCCTGCCAAGAAATATTCGGACATTTCAGGACTTCCGGTAATTATTTTATTTTCCCTCTTCAAAACTGGAATCTCAGTTTCCACAACAAAATAAATCCAGTGATTTAGGGCCAAACCCCAAATGCTGTCACTACATCACAAAATCCTTAGGTTGTGAGTTGATGTCAGGACAGATTAAACACCTTGTCCTGCCAGGTGGCTGCTATCACACCATGTTCCCAGCTGTAGAATCTGCATTGGTCCCCATCATTTCTGATTCTTTGGCTGTTGCAGTGAAAGCTGGTAGCTCACAGGCTCCATGACTGCTAACTGCCAGGACTGAACTACACAGACTGAAACTTTCCATGCTGAGTGTTTGCCTGGGGCTGATTAATTTAATTATATCTTTTCAAGAAAGTTTTAAAAAGATGTCTTAGCGATTTCCAAGAATGAGATTGGGCAAAATGATAGTGATTGGCCCAGGTTAAAAAAAAAAAAAACAAACTTGCTATCGTTGCTCTCAAACCTTCCCTCAAACCAATCAGCCTGAGACAGACACTTGGCATGGACCTTTGAGAATTTGAAATACCCCAGTGCTTCAGAGCTGGAACTTGGGGGTTTGGCAGATGTATAGCCTGTGTGTCACAGATGGGGTCCTTTACATGGTTTTGTTAAAGAAAAGAGAAGAAGGAAAAAAAAGCAAATCCCACCACAATTGATTTAGATGCAGTTTTCACGTGCTCTAAAAAGTCTCAGTAGTTAAAATTTGGCACCTGAATTGCCCAAAGACTCTGTTGGCACAAAACTGGAGTAAAGTAATGGAATTCCGCCCAACAAAAATTTTGTATCTGCTGCTGACACTGTTCCTATGTGGCATGAATAACATTACTTAAAACAAAATTGGTGTTTGTAGCAGCATATCTTTCACTTCTTACCTTCAGCACCCAGTGAATTATTTTGCAGAAGCCTATGCATTTATTATAACTGAATAGGAATGTTGTGTTTTGGACTATAAAAAGGGTTAAGTAGTGGTTACACTAAATAGCTACAATAATGAAAACTTTATAACATCAGAGAGCCTTATTCAGAATTGCTGGGTCCCTTCCCCTAGCTTCATCTGTTTCTCATCTACAGGGCACGAGCCCACCTCACATGCTTGCTTTCACCTCACAGAGATGCCTATAAATACATACATTTTTGTGTTATAGGTTAACACAGCGCCTTGCACCCTGTACACTGTCCCCACTAGGAAAAATATAGTTGTACGCTTAAGGATTGCCTTAGAGTGGATATACAGTGCAGAGCATCAAAAGAACAGCTATAGTGCCAACTGTAATCCTGCACATCCCAACATTTCACTTCTTGGTTTGGTAGCGTATGTTTCCTTCCTTAGACTTTGCTTCTTTTTCTAAGTTACACATTTCAGTAAGGCACCTAGGAGGTGGAGTGTTTCCAGCCTGTGCCTTTGAGCATGATTTGGAAAAAGAGTGGGTTGCTTGCATTGAGGCTGGTAACCCTTGGTGTTCAAGAGGGAATAAGAAAGCAACATCTCCCTCGCAGGAGAACTAGCAGACAGCAGATGGAAGAGGCTGCTCACAAATCTAGGGAAAATAATTCTCTCCAGCCAGGCAGACTTAGTCTTGTACTGGGAAGAGTATTGCCTTGATATAATAGCAACTTGTTTTCAGACAAGGAGCATGGGTCAGCTGGATAAGGAACTTTGTATATAAAGATGCACTGGATGGGGTAAGGAGGGATAGGAGGACATATGAAATAATAATGAGTAGATTTCACCAGAATAGCAAAAATTCCATACTGGGTCACTTACTGGTGTTTATCTGTTTCCTATCCTTTCCCCTTAGAGTAGCTTTGCAAGTACAAGTAGCATTCACACCAGGTGTTACTAGAGTTGCTGCAACATCTCTGACCTGTGAGGGGCTTGTGTGGGGCAGTGGGCGTAAGGACAGATGTGCCTTTGCTGCCCCATCTCCAGGGAACCAAGCAACGCTTCCTGTCACTGGCCTTTGATGCATTTCAAAACTAGTCTGTCATTGTACCTTTAGCAAGATGGTGATGCAGGTCATAGAAGCGAGCACCATGTCCCTGCCAGCCAAGGGTCAGTTTAGCTGTAGGAAATAAGAGTTTCCCTCTCATTACCTCCGGTTTTCTTTACAAGCTCCTGCTTTCCATCAGTGATGTATGTACCTTAACTACTCTAGCTCAGTGCAGATACTCTCCTTTCCATATATGAAGCCATTCAGTGGTGCCTTTGTTTCCTTTTTCTGTCTTTCCACTTTCTTTTTTTTTTTTTCCTCCTTAGTTTTCCATCTTCTAATTGCATTGTGAATCAAGTTTCTTATTTTACCTGGCCTGCAAGTTTTTTCCAGACTATGATAAAAATATCATGTTTAAAAAAAACCTTTTTTATTAAGATAACTGAGACAGCATGTCCTTTAAATTTCTAAGGTAGAAACGTTTCATAAGAAGCACTAAATATATTTTCAAGATAATATCCTAGTAGAAAGATATGTAGGGTAATATAATATTTTTTTAATCTAGTATAAGAAAAACGTCCCTGTATTTTCTGTGTAAAATCTCAAAGCATTTGTGTAATAACATATTTTCTATAAGAATGCTGGATTGCCTGTGGGAAAGAAAAAAAAAAATACTTAGCATTACCCATTTAGGGAAGAATTAAATGGTCTAGCAGGTACAAAAAAAGAGAGGTGTATTAAAATATTCTCTTTAGGATACCTGCAGTTAAATTAAGTGCCACAATTGAATTCTACTGATCCTCTTCTATTTCTGTGTGTAACACAAATGGAATTAAGTTTACCAATGGTCTAAGGAGAGCAGCCAATTTATATTTGTAAGGCAGCCTAGAATTCAAAAGCTATTAACTGACACTGCAAAATAAAACTAGTATCTCCAAACTTGCAGGTTGGATATTTAGATAATTTAACATGCAAAACAGAGTAATTTATTATAAAGCAGATTATTAAAAAAAAAAAAAAACCACCTTCAAATGTTTATTTCTCTTCCTATTCTGAAAATGGATCAGCCCTGTTACTATGGAAACCCCCTGAGATAACCAGTTTATTGTTTTTGAAGAGCAAGTATCTGTGGCCTTTAACTTAGTTTCTAAACATGACAGAGGTTTTCCTTCACAAAATCACTTTACTTCACTTTTCTAATCTGTTTTAATTATTGCTAAAGTAGAGGTAGAATTTGTTTTCAGACTGAAGTCATGGCATAAATGACTGGTTATCACAAACGTTGCAAACATACATGTGTGTGCAAACAGTACAGCCCAAAACAAAGTATCAGAATGGTGAAGAACTGCCATAATATTTTTAACCTAGATTGGTGCACAGTAGAAACTGCAAATATTGCTTGGCTTGTTTATTACAGAATCATGCACATTTTAAAAGCAGTTCACTTGGTTGGCTTTCTTTACATGAGGCCAGACTTAAAGTAGGAAATAAATTTATAACCTGCTGTAACCACAAAATTACTACCAGGGATAAATTTACTGCTAATGCCTTAACTTTGCCATTTGTTTGAAAATTAATTGATGGCTTGACTGTTCGCTGACTACATTTAATTAACCTCATGACATTTCTTTGTAAAGAAACAAGATATAAATAACACTTAATTACCTGCTAAATCTTATCAGGCCAGACGATCGACTGGTTTGTTACCATGCTCAACAGATCCTTTCCAACATAAATGGTGGAGGGCTCTGCACTTCAGTGGCAGGAGTGGGGGAATGCTGAAACTCTTCCTAGCCTTTTTTTTTCTAATAGCAATGTCTTAAGGGATCTCAACTGCCTGTGCCTTGCAGCCTGCTACCATCTCCTTTATAGGAAGGTACAGAAGTCCCTTTCAGAGCCTTGGCAGGCACTTGGTAATCCAATACTGAACAGGCAGCGATGTCCTGGAGACTGAAAGTGGAGAGGCAATAAATACCCTGAAGCCTGCCTTCCTCTAGCCCAGCCTCCTGTGCTGCCCCTGAGCTCATTGGAGCTCAAGTTTTCTGTAGCAAAAGGGAAGGGGAGAGGATGGAAGGAGGTTGGCACCACTCCTGGGCGCCCAGGGTCCAAATATAGCAGAGGATAGAAGCGTGGTCCAGGGTTAGCTGTCCAGGCTGCTATCCTGAAAGCAGGCATCTGTAGCAAAGCCAAGTTCAAAATTCTTTTCAGTTCAGTCACAGAACCATAAGCTGAGATTCCCTTGCTTTAACAACCACTTTAAAGTAAATTAAAAGCTAAGTTGTATGCAGGAAGAGGAAAATCAGTCTAAAGCTATCAGAGCACCCATAATTCAGCCTGTTTGTGGGTAATTTATTGGCAGCAGCCTGACTCTTTGGAGAGCTGCCTTGAGAGAGACTGCACAAGGTACAGAGTTGCTAGGGTGAGTTTAGAGAGATGAGGAATTTCTTTTGCACTGTGTTTTGTCTGAAACTATTTCAGCCCTCTCTTATGTTTAATGCATTTCTAATTTGATTTTATAGGGGTCTGTTAACTTCTCGTAAATTCTGACACAAGGAAAAAGAAAAAAAAGTACAAATTTCTGGTCACGTGTTAGAACAGCAGTGCTGTAACTGGGAAAAGAAACCCACTGTTTTGTCATCTTGTAATTAGACGCTTTTTTATTATTCTGTTTTGAGATTTTATTTGAATAGTGTCTCTGCCTTTGTGTCTCTTTCAGGCAAATTACACAGATCCCCAGAGCAAGCTAAGATTTAGTACTATAGAAGAATTTGCCTATATTCGGATGCTCCCTTCAGATGTGGTTACCGGATACCTGGCTCTAAGGAAAGCAACAAGCATCGTTTCCTGAAGAGACCAAATGTTGTATATTGCCTGTGAGCAGTGCTGATTTTGAGATTCATAATGGAAACTGACTGTGGGACTGAAGTTCCTTAAAACTGTCCATGGATTTTTACATCTGGAAGTAGTTGATGATACATGGACTTGAAGAACATATGGATTTAATTTTGATAAATGCTGATATTTGTTAGTTTGCCAATTTGTAAGCAGTTTGGTTTGATGAACAGAATAACTTAGACCTTAAGGATACGTATCTGTACCATAACGTCTGAATTATATTAATTTCAGTAGAGACAGGATTTCACCTCCACCCTGTATATTTTTATGTACTGCTCTGGCTCAGAAGAAACAGTCATTTCAATTAAAGAAAAGGTACCAGGATATCCCAGCTCTTAAATCTGCCTTGCCAGATGCTCTTGCTGCTTGGCTATGAAGAAGTCTGTCCCATCTGCAAAGTGAAGCAAAAATACCTACCAAGTGCTGCTGTTGTGATGACTGTTCACAGTACTGAGCACTGTGGAAATGAACAGCCTCACCCAAATATCTGCACTGAAGAACTGTCAGCATAAATAAAGTTGGACTAAAACTTGTTTTCAAAATATCCTAATGAATATGCCTAACAGGGTTGAATCAAATCACCAGGTAACAATCGTGACACTCATTTTTGAAAGCTTCATTTGGCAACCTATTATTCTGCCTTTCCTAGTTAGTACAGTATTAGTACTAATTAGTACTTTTTTGTACAAAAAAAGTACTAATTTCCCAGACTTTCTTAAAGCAATGGTAAACAAAGCAGGAATTCCACTGTCTTGGCATTCTGACACCCAGATGGTCTCCAGCAAGGCAAGAACTCCTATGTCAGGACACTGACCTTTGCACCATGAGGTATCAGAGAAATAACTGATAGCAATTGAACACTCTTACCCCTTAGAGGAAGGAGAGCTTGGGCTCTCGCTGGTGGGGGGGCTGATAAGTGAATGCTGTCATCAGAACGACCATGATTTCCTGAAACTAAGTCCAGAGGCAAGGGGGCAGAGGGTTTTCTGCTCATGCTTTCTTTTTGTCCTCTTTCTTATGACAAGCTGCTGCTCTGTTGTCTTCCCATTTCCGCATCTTTATCACAGCCTTAGATTCTTGTCAAGTTTTAATCTGGACTCAGTTCAGGCTAAGCCATGCCTAGCCTCCAACCACACAGCCTTCACGTTCATACTCCACCAACTGCCTCCCTTATCTCTCTGAACCAGTGAGTGATGGCCAGAAAGCCAATACCACTCGCTGGGGGAATGCTTTCTTCCTGCATGCAAAACTGCCAAGTGGAAGATTTGTTCCATAGCTTGTTAGTCCTGGACTGCCCAGGATGCTGATCACGGGACAGCAGCCTTATCTCACCCGAGCACCATCACAAACATCAGGATCTTGTGCAGGGCACTTCTTTCTAACTGCACAAGCAGCACGTGGTGGTGACTAGTTAGTGTCTAAGCTGCAACTCGAATGTACATTTCTATAGACATGGTAATTACTAGAAGTCAATAAGGCCTTCTACAGACAGCTAAAAGTAGCCTCATGATCACAGGCCCTGGTTCTCATGGGTGACTTCAGTCACCCTGATATTTTCTGAAAAGGCCATACAGCAAGGCACACACAGTCCAGAAGGCTCCTGCAGTGCATTGATGATAGGTGGTAGAGGAGCCAAGGAGGAGACGTGTGCTGCTGGACCTCGTACTACTGAAAAAAGAAGGTCTGGGATATGACAGTTGGGGGCAGCTTTGGCTGCAGTGACCATGAGATGGTAGAGTTCAAGATCATGCAAGAAAGAAGCAGAGAAGTAAGTAGGATTGCAACCCTGGACTCAGGAGAGCTAGCTTTTGCCACTTCAAACACCTAATGGGAGCAATTCCATCGGTTAGAACTCTAGAAGGTAGGGGGACCCAAGAGAGATAGTTAATATTCAAGTGCCACTTCCTCCACGTTCAGGATCGGTGTATCCCTATGAGTGAGAAATTAAACAAAGGAGGCAGGAGATGTGCATGGACTGAGCAAGGAGCTTCTGGAAAAACTCAGTGGAAGGAGGAAGTCTACAGTGTGTGGACAAAGGAACTGGCACTTGGGAGGAATACAGGAACATTCCCAAAATATGCAGGGATGCAAGAAGGAAGGCTAAGGATCTCTTGGAATTAAGTCTGGCAAGAGATGTCAAAGACAACAAGAAGGGCTTCTTTAACTACATCACAGCAAAAAGAAGACTAGGGAAAATCTGGGCCTGCTGCTGGATGAGATGAGTGCCCTGGTGATGGAGGATACAGAGAAGGCAGAGTTACTAAACACCACTTTTGTTTCAGTGTCTACTGATAAGGCAAGCCTCCAGGAATCGCAGTCCCTGGAAGTAAAAGAGAAAGTCTGGAGGAAGAATATCCCTTAGTTGAGGAGTGTTGGGTTAGGGATCATTTGGTCAAGCTGGACACCCACAAATCCACAGGCCCTGATGGGATCCACCCAAAAGTGCTGCGGGAGCTGGCTGATGTTATTGCTAAGCCACTCTCCACCATTTTTGAAAGGTCAAGGAGAAGTGCCTGAGGATGGGAGGAAAGCCAGTGTCACTCCAGTCTTCAAAAAGGGCAAGGAGGAGGATCCAGGAAATGACAAGCCAGTCAGCCTCACCTGTATCTCTGGAAACAGATCATTCTGGAGGTCATCTCTAAACATGTGGAGGAAAAGAAAGTTACCATGAATAGTCAGTATGGATTCACCAAGGGGAAGTCATACCTGACCAATCTGATAGCCTTCTGGGATGGTGTGACTAGCTGGGTAGATGAGGGGAAAGCAATGGATGTTGTCAAAAGCCTTGCTGAAGTCAAGGTAGACACTATTTGCCATAACACCCTCACAGGTAAGCTCAGGAACTGTGGGTTAGATGAGTGGACAGTGAGGTGGATTAAGAACTGCCTGAACAATAGAGCTCAGGGGATTGTGATCAGTGGCACAGAGTCCAGTAGAAGGCCTGTAGGTAGTGGTGTTCCCCAAGGGTCAGTACTGCATCCAGTCTTGTTCAACATCTTCATCAGTGACCTGTAAGAAGGGACAGAGTGTACCCTCAGCAAGTTCGCTGACGATACAGAACTGGGAGGGGTGGCTGACACACCAGAAGGCTGTGATGCCATTCAGCCAGACCTAAACAGGATGAAGAGTTGGGTGGAGAGGAACCTAATAAAGTTCAACAATGCCCACCGTAGAGTCCTGCACCTGGGGAGGAAGAACCCCATGCACCAGTACAGGTTTGGGGTTGACCTACTGGAAAGCAGCTCCAAGGAAAAAAAAAACAGGAGTCCCAGGGGAGAACAATTTTTCCATGAGCCAGCAGCGTGCTCCTGTGGCCAATAAGGCCAATGGTATCCTTGGGTGCACTAAGAAGAGTGTGACCAGCAGTTGGAGGGAGGTTTTCATCCCCCTCTATTCTGCCCGGATGAGGCCATACCTGGAGTATCCAGTTCTGGGCTCCCCAGTTCAAGAGAGACTGCTGGAGAGAGTCCAACAAGGGGCTATGAAGGTGATTAAGGGACTGGAACATGTCTCTGACAAGGAAAGGCTGAGAGACCTGGGTTTGTTTAGCCTGGAGAAGAGAAGGCTGAGAGAGGACCTTACCAATGGTTATCAATATTTGAAGGGCAGGTGTCAAGAGGTTGGGGCCAGACTCTTTTCAGTGGTGCCCAGTGACAGGACAAGGGGCAACAGGCACAAACTAGAACAGAGAAGGTTCTGCCTAAACATAAGGAGAAATTTCTTTCCTGTGAGGGTGATGGAGCCCTGGAACAGGCTGCTCAGAGAGGTTGTGGAGCCTCCTTCTCTGGAGACTGTCCTGGATGTGTTCCTGTGCAACCTGCACTAGGCAAACCTGCTTTAGCAGGAAGATTGGACAAGATGATCTCTAGAAGTCCCTTCCAACCCCTGCCATCCTGTCATTCTGTGAACAATATGCGTAGTGTTATTAATGCTGGTTTAATTTGAGCTCCAAAAGATGAAAAACAATAATGGGACACATTGTTCAATGAAATTCTGTGGGACCCATTCCTCAGTTTTTGTGATCAAATATTTACAAAAACAATTTTTAAAGTCTTTGACATGCCTACGATAGATCCTGCAAAGCCCTGGATACCAGTTAAATGCTACAACTATCACAGAACAAAAAAAGAGTAAGACAGGATATCTTTCTTCATACCAGTAAGCATCCAAGCCACATTCTCTTTGTACACAATTCTAGAGTGGTTATCTTTAACTTACTCTACATACTGAAGATGTGTTTATAAGGGAAGTTTAATGCTGTTATGAAAAGAAAACACATAGAACTGATGTAAGATAATTTATGTCTTAAATAAGCAGAAAGCAGCTCAGAAAATCATATTTCACCAGCTTGTTCTCTCCCACAAATATTTTTAACATTCTTCAGGAATGACTGCTTAGGGACCCAGGTTCCCTCGCCATGAGAAGTGTTCGTGCACTCTTGTGCTGCATGTTAAGATGTTGCTTCTCAGCTAATTCCTCCTGTGAAGTGTTGCTACATTCCACTGTCAAAACCTAAGTGTCTTACTGAATGAAATCTGGATCAGAAAAGTAATACAGCTTAGATTTGGCAACAACATTAGTGACTCTTACCTTAGTGCTCTCTATCCACAAAAAGGCTGCTACATTCCCTTTTCTTTCCTTCCATGTTTCTTCCTTTGTTAGCTACCGTCCCTTTTTCTCAGCCGATGGTCCCTCACTTTTACTCGTTAGGCTGTGCAGCAGTCCAGCCACGAGTGATGAGTCAGCCTCCGGCACTGTGCAGCGTTACATTGACCAACAACAGTTTACCACGTGGAACAATCAAAACAAATCTGTTCTAGCAGGAAGCTGAGGGCAGAAAAGATCTAACAGTCACATGTATGACATCGTTCAGTCTGATGAGGTTCTCTTTGGAAACAGCATGTGGACCTGCTGCTCTCATCAGTGCCTTCTATGAGAGAACTGAGCAATACC